TTCCAGATTTTCATTTAATTCCTTTTGCCAGGGTGGGGATTTGAAACCATGTCCCCAGAACATTACCTTGGGGTCAGGATTACTCATCCAGTGAAATTACGAGAATGCCACCATCCTGGCCTAAGTACTTGGTCCTGTTGATGAATACACTGACCTTTCACTTTCAGATTGACAGGACAAAGGTTTCGCAGTTGTTTGGCTGCAACGGTTAGATAGGAGATGGGTTGGGACCAGCCTTAATCCAGTTACAGGCAAGCATGGGCTCATTGTATAACAGTGTCCAAAATGTAGCACAACGTTGGGTATTTCAAAACTGGATGTAAAGCGTGTCAAAATAGAACTGCTGCCTTGGTGCACTCTCCATTTGCACCCTATTGCCAAGTCAGACTGCCTGGTTTGTCTCATTGCAGTTGGGTAACTTGATCTTGGATTGTTTGATGGCAACACCTGCAATGAGATAAACATTTATAGAATTCCCAGCACCTTGATGGGCCATTTGGCCCAACAAGTCTGTGCTGATGTTTATGCTTCATGTGAGTCTCCTCTGACTCTATCTCAGTTAACCCTCTTTGACATGACCCTGTATTCCATTCTCCCGTGAGCAATAACCTACCTTCTCTCAGTGATATTCTCCTCAACTGCATCTATGTGATTGTCTGGGTAAAGAAGTTTTTCCTGAATCCCTATCAATATTGGTGAACCACAAAAACAATTCAACCCTCTTATCAATAGAGTAAAAGCACAGCAGGCCACATTCTCCCTGAAACATTACATTTCCATATAGGGTAAATGGAAAGTCGCCATTTTCCCAGCAGAGCATAGGGCTGCTTTCTCATTAGGAAGAGGGATGACTGATGGTGAGTTTAATCTGAGGGTCGCCATGCCACAGGTGAGGGACAGGATTGAGAATGTAGAACCTTCATGGTAACCTCATGCAGTGTAGGAATTGAACCCATGCTGTTAGCGTCTCTCTGCATCACCGACCAACCAACTGAGCTAGCCAACCCCTTTTGATGTAGGAACCTCTGTAGAAATATTATTGTGTTTAAACTTTTGTAAACAGCTATACTGAAAAGATCACCAGCTAAACATCTGGCACAGGATTTGAGCTTTCTGATTTTGCGGTAGAATAAGCTACCTTGACCTGTTTTCAACAATCCCACTATCTTTCCTGTCTGTCCACACCATTGCGCCTCAGCCTGGAAACACGTGAATGAGCTCTGGCCAAACATATCGGTGATACCAGCAAAACTGGGATCCGATCTGTGTATTCCTCTGCCCTCTGATCACTTTCCTGTTTATTGCTAATGTACAGAATTCCCAATCGAAGCATGAAATGCTCCTGAGTTATCAACTTGCAGCAAAGCTGGGTCCACAAGATGTCGTAAACCACCTGCCAAGCTCAACCTGCATGCAACGGGATGGTTTAGAATGCTAATGGATTATGTTAGCCATAGAGATATGGTCATCAGCACAGAAGAGGCCCTTCGGCCCACTGACTATGCTCTGACCTTTTTACACTTCCAATTTCCTGCGCTTGGCCCAAAACCTTGAATGACATTTCCAGTGTTCATCCAATTACTTTTTAAAGGTTGTAAGGTTACCCACCTCACTGACCCTCCCAGGCAGAGCATTCAAGACCCCCACTACTCTTTGGGTGGAAAACATTTCCTCAAATCCTCTAAAGCTCCTGCTCTTCACCTTAAACTGGTTGATTTGAACTGTTCTTCTGTATGAATTGCTAGGTGTTCTTTTTGCCAAGGTTTTAAGCTAAGAATGAGATAAATCCTGATTTCAAATGACCCTGTTTCAAACATAACAGTTGTTAGCTAACAGCAAGATAGCTAATCTTGCAATCAGAACTGGGTCCTGTGGGGATCTGTACCCAGAGGTAACTGAGAGATCAAAGGAAGGGAAAGAATTTGGGACACCAATATTCCCTTCGTTGATGAGCAGTTTTAATCCTTTACTTTTGCTCATACTTACACTTTCTGGCCATTAATTTATCAGAGGCAGAATTAGGTCAAATATTAAATTAATACACTACAAACAAAACCCCAAAGAATTAAATTAATACCATGCTTTGTAATCTCAAAAACATATGTCCCAAAGAGACATTGTGTTTGTTTGTATGCTAGTGTTACATGAGTGATGGTGTACTTAATCCTTGGATTGCTGAACGCGGAGATTTGTGCCTTGGGATCCTTAAGGTCTATGCAGGCAATTGGACAGCTCTCTGTAAGAATATTGCTGTCGGGGAATTCTAACGTTTGCAAAAATCATTAGAGTGAATTTTCTTTTTGACATGGAAGGGAATTTGATATTTCAGTCACAATCAAAACTAGTTATTGCTGTGTAGTGTTAGTTAGTGACATGTCCCTCTGTATTACTCTCGCGGTATACTATAACCCAAAACTCACTCGATGTTGACATTTTAATCTCTCAAGCCAACACTCTCCGAGTGAAAACTACAGTTCGTGCAAACTTGTTTAATTTATTTATTTGCTATGGATTCATGCTGAGTTGGCTAAGATAGACAGAGAATCTACACCCTCAGTGAATCCAGAAGAAGGGAGCATCATCTAAAAAGGAGAGAGAGGAATGGCTGATGGGTAGCTGAAAATTATATGGGATCTGAATTACAGTCTGGGTGGTGTGATGGTAATCTGTTAGATTTCACTCAGGGAGTCCAAGTGGATCTGGGATCATGCAATTGTGTGTTCTATTCTGGACCTATAGATAGCAGCTGCACCTCAGAAATTCACCTTCCAAACAAATGACCACTTCTATCTAGAAAGATAAGGGCAGCAGATACATGGGAACACCACCACCAAGTTCCCCTCCAAGACACTCACTGTCCTGGCTAGGAAGTATATTGCTGTCCCCTCATTGCCACCAAGTTAAAATCTTGGAGCTCCCTTCCTAAGGGCATTGTGGGTCTGCCAATAGCATATGGACTGCAGTGGTTCAAGAAGGCAGCTCACCACCACCTTCTCAAGGACAACTAGGGACAGGCAATAAATGCTGGCCCAGCCAGTGATGCCCACCTACCACAAATGAATAAAACAAAATACTGACGGTACAGGCTTCAATTTCTTTTCGCTTGATGGTTGACCAGGGATTTTTCCCACTTTTACCACCTGCTACTGGCATGTGTTGGAAGGAAATGCAACTTGATTTTCAACCTGTTTGACCACATTACACCTCCACCTTCCTTAGCGATTGAGTCCTGGTGTAGGTCCCAAATTCAGAACTCTTAGCTCAGAGGCAGGTACACTACCTGCTGCGCCATCAGATTCCCTTCAACAGTGTAGGTTCCTTCTTTAAATATTCATTCAAAAGGCTCCTCCCTGTTTCAGCCACTGTCCATTGCAATGTTCATTCAAAAATCCTTCAGGAGTGAAAATAGGAAACAATTTATCACCAAAGGTTAGTGGAAGTCTGGAACTTTCTCAGAATATTTCCATGCAAAAGGCTGTAGATACTAAGGATCACCAAAACAGCTTCCAATAAGTTTAGAGAGATTTTTGATGGCTATCAAGAAATGTGGATACAAGGCAGAGAATTGGAGCTGAGAAACAGATCAACTATGATGAGGTAAACAGAGGGAATGGTCTTGAGGGGCTGAATGGCCTCATCTTATTTATGGGACTAAAAACTGACAAGCAACCTGTCAACTCCATTGAAATATCAGAGACGTCTGTGGTGTCTTTTAGAGTTATCTTAAATTCTGAAAAGTGCAAAATCCAGACTAAATAATGTACAATCTAGCAGTTAAACTCGAAGCTTTAAGAGGGTGGTGATAACTGCTTTTACAGTGACGTTATTTTTGGATAGTTAAGTTATAGCAATAAACATTTTTCCAATGTGACATCTATACTGGTGCAAGTGTTTGTTTTAAGAACATGACTTTAGCTCCAAATTGTTTCAGAGTGTGTTCAGATATTGATGAATGTATTGGAAGCTTTCACAAAACTTTCTGGATAAAATCAAGAAAGTTGATATCCTACTAGGTTCCATCTAGAGTCAGGCTCTGCTTTATGATGTCAGGTTATTTTCTGCATGAAGAGGAACTGCATTTTACTCAACAATTGTTGAGTGTCATTCACAGTTTTGCTGTTTAATTTACACAAGGGTGGGTGTGAAGTGAGCAACACTTGCCATATTTACAATCTCACCTTGAAAAATATGGAAGTAAAAAATAAATTACAGTCCCCATGGTCTAGTGGATTTGATGTTGAGTGACCATAGTGATAAAGAATGGCTGAAACAGGAGCCTTGTGAAGAAATATTGATCCTACGCTGTTGTGGCGCAGTGGGTAGTGTCCCAGCCTCTGACCTGAAAGTTCTGGGTTCAAGGTCCACTCCAGAATCTGATGCTTGGGGAAGGTAGCTAGACAAGTTGAATATCAATTTGTAAATCCTTCTAGCAGAAGCCAGTGGTAGGTGATAAGTGTGGGAAAGATTCTTGGTCAGCCATGGGATGGAAAGAACATTAGAACTATTTGTGGCTTCAGACTACAACATGTAAATGAGTGTTTCAGCATCAAGCTGGACTACCCTGAGTGAGCTCTAACACACCATTACCGTCACTTAGATTGTTAGTTAGACCCTCAAACAGTGCTGCTCAATCTGGAGGAAAAACCTCTGTCTCCCCGATGGTTAAAATGTGACTTGCTCAGCAATGTGTCCCATTGGATTCCCCACTTTCTCCGTCTACACCCCCACAGCCCCCTTTTATAACTTAACAACTGAAGGTGGCTGTGGAAGTGATTTTCAAACCATTTTTTTGGCAACTTCCCAATTAAATTGAAGTGAGGCTTGACCATGAAGATTGAGCATCCTTTGACCAGTGGCTATTTGTCAAATCTGCTGGTTCTTTGGTCAGCATCCTCAACTTGTGGCCCCTCATGCTCCCAAGGCTGTTGCCTTGCCATGACCTTGCCATGATTGTGGATGAAGCAAATGGTTGACCACCTGGATTATTGCCTCAAACCAAGCTGTGTTGGGAAGATGGCAGATGTTCTAGAAATCTCTGGGGCCAACTGCACCACTTTCGGTGCGTCACAGTTGCTTCAGTGCGTGTGTGTGCATGGGGGTGGGTGGGGGGGTGCGGTGTGGGTGGGTAAGGTTTTGTCTGGACTATCTCGTCCTGGCTGAGGTGGCCACAACAATTTACCAAAATCAATATTTGTTTCAGTGTGTGGTCTCAGTGAATCCAGCTGTAGACTCTGTGGGTACATGGGGTTGGATGGCATTACCAACATTCAAGAAGCTGCACTGAAGATAAACTTTGAAGAACAGCCGGATTCCAAGGTACGAATGGAATCTTTAGTGTTTGCATTTTAAAATCATCAGCTGTGGCCTTCAATCCCTTTGGGGTGTGCTTTTTCCCCCATAGATTATAGTGCGCGGAAAAAGGCCTACAGTGTGGGAACAGACCATATCGGCCATCCAAAGAGCACCCCACCCAGACCCAGCGCCTATCCTATCCCTGTAACCCTGCAATTCTTATAGCTAATCCACCTAGCCAGCACATCCCTGGATACTACGGGCAATTTATCATGGCCAATCCACCTAACCTGCACATCTTTGGACATTGGGAAGAAACCAGAGCAAACCCATGCAGACACAGGGAGAACATGCAAACTCAACACACAGCCTGAGGGTGGAATCAAACCCGGGTCCCTGGTGCTGTGAGGCAGCAGTGCTAACCACTGAGCCACGGTGCTGACCTCGGGGTGTACAGCAGTTTGTGCTCCTCTCCAGCCTCCTGCCATCTTTCTTCACCAAAATCTATAATCGTATCCTCCATTCCCTTCTTCTTCCTCTTATACTTTCAAACAACAAATGGCATTTTACGTAGCATCATTACCACAGTGAAATGCCCCAAGGTGCTTCAGAGGCATGTTACTCTGACACACATAAAGAAATATTTGTGCAGATGACCAAAAGGAGGGCCAAAGACATAGCCTTTAAGGGAAAGAAAAAGAGGTGGAGAAGCTTACCCAGGGCTGTACAGGGAAAATGGTGTTGGAGCAGTTCCGTAGTTTGGTAGCCCAGCTGTCTGATAGCACATCCACCCATGGAGAGATGGGAAATTCCAGAGATACATAAGGAACTGGGTTAGAGGAGTGTAGGTATTCCAGATATTGTGGGGCTGGAGGAGATATAGAGATAAGGAGGGAGCACAGCCCTGGAACAACTGAAAACCAAGATGAGCAAGTTTACTGTAGATTTTTCCAATGAACACCCAGTAATGCTAAAGATAAATATATTTAATCCGGATCCTATACTACAGGCCATTCTTTAAAGCAAAAAAAATTAAGTACCATCTTAAAGAGTCAAACTGTTCATATAGTATAAAATTGACGTGAATGTGTTAATCAGCCTTTTACAAATAACCATCAATAACAACAACGACTTGGTGATTTGAAGCAGATCACTTTAGAAATGTGAGACAAACACAGATAGAGATGGAAATGCTCAGCTAGTCTGGCAACAATGGTGGAGATGGATCAGGCTGATGATGTTTCATCTGAAACAGTAATTATGTATCTGTCTCTACAGATGCTGCCTGACCCTCTCGAGTATTTCCAACACTCCCTGTCATTTTTAAAAACTGAAAGAACTGCGGATTCTGTAAATCAGAAACAAAAACAGAAATTGCTGGAAAAGCTCAGCAGGTCTGGCAGCATCTGAGGAGAGAAATCAGAGTTAACGTTTTGGGTCGAATGACCCTTCCTCAGAACTCTTCCTTCTTTTTTGTTTTGGGTCTCCAGCGTCCACAATATTTTGCTTTTTTTTGTATCAGTTGTCACTCTGGAGATGCCAGGAGCTCAGTGGTGAATGTTTAATTGTTGGGTTTTGATCATCCAAGACACAAGACGGTGGCGGGAGTTGGGGGGGTATTGTAACTCCTTGGGTACTCTCAGCCTGGCCACCAGATGGCACCCTATTGGAGAGCTCAAGCACCCAATCTCCAAAAGGAATCCGTGACTCCCTTGAGTCGCAGGACGCTTTTGGTGTTACTGTCACAAAGGAGATAGATCACTGAGGCACTGGTCAATCTGAATAAAAGTGGCATCAGAGAGTCCACAATGGAGGCATAAGGTGGGGAGGAAATGGAGACTCAAAACAACAATTCCAACCAATACCATGAAGGTTCCTAGTGATTATTTTCTGCATTGAATTTACTTCCTATATCACAGAATGATGCAGCACCGAAGGCCCACTGTGTTTGAATGAGCTGTGCAGTTCGTCTCTTTACCCTCACAGCCCTGTCATTGTTTCTCCCCTGCCATTTCACATTCCCTTTTCGATATCAGGCTGCTTCCCCCCCCTACCCTTTCACACAGCCCATTCCAGATTACAATAACTTCTTTTTTCATTTAATTATTTCCGAACCAGCCTCTCTAGGTGTATTGTGATACACCTCTGGAACAAAGGGGACTGGCTCAGAGGTAGGGACACTACCACTACACCACAAGAGCCCCAGATTACGTTAGTCGCTGAGTAAAATAAATTCTCCTCACTTGCTGACTGGGTCCTTGGTCAATCAGCCTGAACCTGTGTTGCCAGTGGATACAATTCCTCCTTATTTCCCTTCATAATTATAAATGTCTTTATCAAGTCTCCCCTAAACCATACTGTTGTAAGATGAGTATTCGGAGATTCCCTCCTCATTCCTGATACCATCCTGGTCGATCTACACTGCAACTTCTCAAAAGGTTATTATCCTACTGAAATTCTAATACCCAGAATTAGACACGGCTCTTCCAACTGTGGTTTAACATTGTTCATCATACTGTTCTTTCTGTTGTATTCTAATCCTTAATCAATAAAGCAGTCTATTCATGATGGCACATGGACTACAATGGTTCAAAAAGGCAGCTCACCACCACTTTCTCAAGGGCAACTAGGGAATGGCTTGGCCATCAATACCTACATCCCACCAGTGAATGAAGAAAACTCCTCAAAGAATTCTGAATTGAAAATTATGATTGAATCTGCTCCCATCACACCAGAGCATTCCATGTCACAACAACTCATTGCAATAGAAAAATCTTCACCTCTCTTTTAGTTCTTTTGCTAATCATCTTCGATCTCTGCTGTCTGATTACCGATTTTCTTGCCATTAAAAACAGTTCCTCCTTCGTTACTGTGTCAAATTCCTTCACGTTTCTGAATGCCTCAGTGAACTCTCTCCTCAACCTTCTCTGCTCGAAGGGAACAACCCAAGCTACTTTTCCTTCTCTCTATATATAATTGAAGCTCCTCATGCCTTGTACAATTCTGGCAAATCCTCTCTGCACCTTTTCCAAGAGTTTCCTAGATTTGCCTGCAGTACACCAGCTGAGACCCAATAGATATTAATTGTATAAGGATTTAGTGGAGCCTCCCCACTTTCTACATCTCTGTTCCTGCTATTTGTTTTTTAAAGTGTTTATAAACCTGTCCTGTCTCCTTCAAAGATTGTTGGCTCCAGGTTGTTTTGTTCTTTAATCCTGTACACTTCCCACTGCCTCGGGAAAGCAGCCAACATAATCAAAGACCCCTCCCACCCTGGTTATACTTTCTTCCACCCTTTTCCATCGGGTAGTAGATACAGTAATTTGAAAACATGTACCAATAGATTCAAGAACAGCTTCTTCCCTGCCATTATCAGACTGAGAGTCATAGAGTTATACAGCATAGAAATAGACCCTTTGGTCCAACTCGACCATGTCGACCAGATATCCCAAATTAATCTAGCCCCATTTGCCAGCATTTGGCCCATAACCTTCCAAACCCTTGCTATTCATGTACCCATCCAGATGCCTTCTAAATGTTGTAATTGTACCAGCTTCCACCACTTCTGGCAGCTCATTCCATACACGCACCACCCTCTGTGTGAAGAAGTTGTCCTTTAGGCCACTTTTATATCTTTCCCCTCTCACCTTAAACCTATACCCTACCCTGGGAAAAAAGACCTTGGCTATTGAACCTATCCATGCCCCTCATGATTTTATAAATCTCTATAAGGTCACCCTTCAGCCTCTGATGCTCCAGTGAAAATTGCCCCAGCCTAATCAGCCTCTCCATACAGCTCAGATCCTCCAAACCCGGCTACATCCTTGTAAATCTTTTCTACACCCTTTTGGGTTTATGGACGGATCTCTCACATATTAGAGTTGACCTTAGAGATAGTAAGAACTGCTGATGCTGGAGTCTGCGATAACACAGTGTGGAGCTGGAGGAGCACAGCAGGCCAGGCAGCATCAGAGGAGCAGGAAAGTTCATGTTTCGGGTCAGGACCCTTCTTCAGAAATGATCTTGTCTGCACCTCCTCTGTAGCTGTAATATTATATTCTGCACTCTGTTCTATTTCCCTGACGTATTTCTGTAAGGTATGATTTTGTCTGGTTAGCACACAAAACAATACTTTTCACTGTATCTCGGTACATGTGGCATTAATAAATCAAATCAAATCAAATTTTTAAAATTGTAAGTTTCAGTTTTGTGGATTTTGATTTCCTACAGAAATTTGGCTGTGCTAAAGCACTGTACATATCTGATGCTGACAAACGCAAACACTTTCGGATTGTTTTAAGTCTCTTCCTCGGGACTGGCCAAGAGGTCGGCACCTTCTACAGTAAATTCATTAAAGTTATTTCAAAGCCGTCCCAGAAGAAGCACTCCATTAAGAATGCAGACTGTAAGTATCACTGGGTGGGTGGTCAGTTAGAAAGTGAAATTAAAACAGAAAAGTACTGGAGAAACTCAGAATTTTAAATGGCATTTGGATAAGTAAATGAATGGTAAATTTACTTTGGGAACGTGGTCAGCATGGACTAGTTGGACCGAAGGGTCTGTTTCCATGCTGTATGAGTCTATGATTCTGAGATTTGGCAGCACCTGGGGAGAGAGAAACAGAGTTAATGTTTTGAGTCCAGTGTGACTGTGTTCTTCAGAGCAGCAGGGTGGGAATTGGAAAGTTCTCTCATGCAGTTTGGACTGGGCAAGAGGCTGAATCAGAAGGTCACAGGTTCCTATCCCACTCCAGGATCTTGAGAACAAAATCAACACTGACAACTCTAATGGGACACTGAGAGACTGACACACTGTTGGGGTTCAGGCTGTTGGACAAGTTGTTAACCCTGTCTGCAGCAAGTCCCTATATCTCTCTACCTTTCTAGATATGTGTAAAAGGACCCACGTTATTACTTTGTAGAACAAATGAAAGTTCTCCTCATACTTCCGGGCCAATATTTATCACTCAGTCAAAACCACCTTAAAAAAAAATTCTTCATTATAGTTTTTGTGAGCTCACTGGGCACAAACTGACTCCTGTGTTTACATTTATAGGAATGACCATGTGAAGAAAAGTGCTAGAGAAATCCCAGCTTTTTTTTTATATATTTGTAATTAACCTATTCAGAAACAGTAGGATATGCCTCTGGGGTAGGTGGAACTTGAACCTAGGCCTCATGATTCCAAGGTAGGGACACTACCACTGTGCCATGTGAGTTTGCCAATTTTTTTTTGTGTGTCACAGATAATAAAACTGCCTCCAAATCTTTGCACTCCAATTATCTTTGTTCAAAAAGGCTACATCCCCAGAATTTAGTTAATTTTAGTTAATTCTGAATGCTCAACAGTTAGCTGCTAATTTTATTTTCAAGTTGAGAAACTGTTCTTTTCAAAGTACAGATTTGATGAGCTGAGTGGTTTCCTGTATTGTATCATTCTCTGAACTCTTTCACACAGAAGGCATATCACCTTGGAGTCTAGCCGGCGGTGAGATGAGAAATATCGTTTTGAAATATCTAATTTGCATTTTTGAAAGGGGAGTACTCCCTCAGTATCCCACTGGAGTGTCAGCCCAGATAACATGCCCAAATCTTGACAGTGGGACTCAAAATTGCCGTGTTGAATTCTTCAGTGCTTGATTAAGAGAGTCTGGTTACTATTGATGCTCGCTACACTAGAATGGCTAAGCCTGGGCGTGGACTGTGGGAAAAGTGAACAAAGTGGGAAAAGAGCCAGAAACTCCAGTTAAAAGCAGGAGTAGACATTTCAAAGTGTCCTGAATGAAACCGTGTTATACATACATACACACACACACACACACACACACACACACACACACACACACACATATACACACATATATACACACACACACACACACACATATATACACACACGCACATATATACACACACACGCACAAGCTACTATCATCTCGGTACAGCTCTGAGATAGAAAATATACAGGAGAACCCATTCAAATGTGAGTGTGCTGCCTCTGCTCTCTGGGGAGCACTGTATACTCAAAAGTACCTTTCAATTGTTCAGAGTGTGTTATTGGGGCCCAGTTTCTTCCAGTCACAAGGTACTCACTGTTTAATCACCTGTGCCCAGTATGTATCTCTTCAGGCTCCAAGGTGGCTTTGTTCAATCGTCTGCGATCTCAAACAGTCAGTACACGGTACCTGTGTGTAGAGGGAGAGGAGTTCATCGCTAGTGCCAGGCAATGGGCAGCTTTCACTTTGCATCTGGGTAAGAGTTCACTGATTCACATCAGCCTTTACTAGGGGAAACATCTGATAGAAAATAATAGTCAAGTTCACTGCTTATCACTATAACTTTACAAACTGTTATGGCAAGCTTTCATTAAATCACTGGTTCGGTATCCGCTCCATTCTGGGGCACCATGGTTTAGGAAGCATGTGAAGTCTTTGGAGAGGTCACAGAGTATCTCAGAACTTCTGGTGTCTCTGCAACACTCCAGTACGCAGGTCCTGTTGTAGTTGTCCATAGCTGCACACGACAAAATGGCTATTAGGGATTTTTTTCAAACTGACATAGACAATCAAAAGAAAGTTTAGCTGATGCAGTATTTCATATAGCTCGAAACATGGCCTTCACAGATAGACAACAAAATGCCTCTGAGTCTTACTGAGACAGGACTAGAATATAGACAGTAAGACTGTGATAAGGCAGTTCAGATGGAAACCAGAGATAGGAGGAACTGCCGATGCTGGAGTCTGAGATAACAAGGTGTAGAGCTGGATGAACACAGCAGGCCGGGCAGCACCAGAGGAGCAGGAAAGCTGACGTTTTGGGTTTGGATCCATTTCTGAAGAAGGGTCCAGACCAGAAACGTCAGCTTTCCTGCTCTTCTGATGCTGCCTGGCCTGCTGTGTTCATCCAGCTCTACACCTTGTTATCTCAGATGGAAACCATCTGTTTTGAGATTTATGGGTTTTATTTAAATAGAAAGGGAAATCTTGACCTATCTGAGATGAGGCTTTTTAAATGATTAGAATCACATATTAGAGTAGACACATTCATACAATAATAGAAGTTTAAATTTATTAGATATTGGGAAATTAAATTTCTGAAGTCAGTTCACCTGAGAGACAGAGAAACTCTTAAAGATACTGTTTTCTCCGTCAGCAAGAAGATTAGAAAAACAAAAAGGTATAAACAAGGTAACCTCGTAAGATACTGAGAGACAAATAGTGTGGCAAAGGAGGGGCAGAAACAATTTTGAAACGGGGTCACCACGGCCGAGAGAATAAACAACTGCTGCTTCACAACTTGGATAAGAGCGAAGCTGCTTCCAAAATTATTAGCTTGGTCACAGAATCATAGTATTAGGTTTAACTGTGTATAACTTTATATTTGAGCTTCTTTTACAAATATTATAACAACTGGTAGAAAATAACATCCTTTTTAATCATCTGTACTAAGATCAACAAGGATAATGAATTGCATGGTCGAATTTAAAAAGTCAGTAGTAATAAACAACTATACAATGTGGCTGGCAAAAGCCTGGGAAGGGACATTACAATTGGTGTTAGAATGTGGTCAATAATAGTCAGAGCTCAAGGACAGGTGATAGGGCCAACATCACAAGCTGATGGGAGGACCTAAGGTGGACCATGAAGTTGTCCATCGTTGTGTAATCACAGGATTGGAAGTGTCAGTCAGATGAGATATGGCAAACACTAACCATTGTAATGCGGAATGTATCAATATCCTGTCCTTTATTGGGAAAGATAGTGTCACTGACCACTCCTCCGATCTGAGCTGTGATTAAGAGGGCAGCTGAGCCGCATGTGAAAGCCAGATTTGGAGTGGTCTCCAGCCTCTCCCACACGTGTGGTAAAGGAGCTCCAAATAAAGTTTGATTTGTGCGACTGAACTCAGTAACATCCCTCAGCAGCCTGGCTGTTTAACAACACTTGCGGGATCAGAGCTGACCCTGGGGCTTGTGATCCTTTCCCATTCATCTGCCATACTGCTGTGAACCACTGCAAAGGGGCACTGTTGGGAAGGTGCTCAGGTTGATCTCCAATATCCTGTCAATGTCTTGGGGCTGAGCACTTCTCTTCTATGCAGTTGTCCGAGAAGGAGGAAGCTGGTGACCCCCAAATTTGACCTGTGCTGCCCCATTGGTGGGATGGGGGGTTACAACCCATGGTTTGGAACCATTGGTCTCCAGCTCCTGCCTGTGCACAGGTCACGATGATGTCTCAGAGCAGAGCCTGGCCTCCAATCGTCTGGGGACCCCTTTGATATTAGATCAAGGTCCTACCCTGCCAAGACACTGGGTCTCACAACAGCAATGACCACCTCACGTTGAAAACAAAAGAGATCCTGCCCAACTACCTGGTCAAGATAAAATTTGGGACTTAGAATATCAGGGCATCACATTGCCCCATATGATGCAAAGTCTGTAGGTTATGCATTGGATTCGAGTCAACTCACAACCTCTTGTCTCCGAGTGAAAATGAGTCACCCTCTGGCCTAAGGGACTGCCTCAGAGAAGAAAAGGGTCAAAAGACTTCACTTCCACAGAGAAACTGGAAGCTAATATTGTTCTCCTTAGAGAGACGAGTGCTAGGGAGATTTATTAGGGATTCAAAGTTTACGAAAGGTTCCGATAGACTAAGTATAGGTGTGTTTTCAGGGTCAGGAAAGCCAGTTGCATGAGGCCACAGATTTAAAATGATTGACGATGAACCAGAGGGTAGGTGAGGAGATTGAGGTTTAAACAGTGAGTTGCTACAATCTGGAATGCATTGCCTGATAGAATCAGACTCAGACATAATTTCCAAGTTGAAGAGAGGAAACAAAATGGTGGGAGAAAGATGGAGGGCGTTGTTGGTGGGACAAAGTGGATACCTGTTTAAAGAGCTGGCACAGATACAATAGGCTGAATGGCCTCCCTCCTCGCTGGAGCATTCCCTGAAATCATTGCTGGGTAACGGCAGAGCTTCTTGCTGTGCTACCTTCACGTCTATCCCTAACGCTCTTGTTTCCTCAGCAGAGAATGACCAATGTCGGAGGGGTGATTTCTGTCCTGGGGATGGATACATCCGATATGGATCAGCTGTCAAATTAGTATGCACTACGTCGGGAATCTCCTTACCTAGCATGGTATGACCCACTTCTGGTGGCCTATGTCCAGACTGAAGTCCAGTCATCTTCACTGTTGCTGCTTTTTCTGCCCCCTTCTGGCTTAACATATCGCCTCAAATGAGTGTGTCTGATAAACTATTACATTCTTCACCATTTTGATAAAAATACACCTTGTAGGACAAGATTATTCAAGTACAATGAAGCTGATCCCTAATTGCCGAGAAGGCAGTTAAAAGTCAACCACATTGCTTTTGGATCCGGAGTTACATATAGGCCAGACAGGGTAAAGATGGTAGTTTCCGTCCCCAAAGGACATGAGTGAACCGGATGGATTTTCCCGACAATTGGTAATAGTTACATGGTCATTGTTATAGTCTTAATTTTTTAATTGAATTCAAATTCCACCATTGGCCGTGGTGGGATTTGAACCCAGGTCTCCAGAACATTATCTGGTCTTTGGATGAGATATTCGCCATCCCTTTTGTCCCTTCATCCAAGTCCTTTCTATAAATTGCAATAATTTGAAGCCCCAGCACTGTCATTAATCTTGCCAGCTAATAAATAACCCAGTTATTTATTTATTTATTCCCTGTTTCCTGCTAGCCAGCCAATCTTCTACCTGTGTCAGTATATTACACCCTATATTATGAACTTTTATTTGCCATAGTAAGCTTTGATGTGGCACGTTATCAAAGGCCTTCTGAAAATCTAAGTGCAGCACATCTATTCGTTCCCCTTTATCCACAACACTTGCTATTTACTCAAGGAACTCATTAAACATGATTTTCGTAGAATCATAGAATCCCTACAGTGTGGGAGTACGCCATTCAGCCCATCGAGACCAGACCGACCCTCCAAAGAGCATCCCACCCAGACCCATTCCCCTATTTTAGCATTACCATGGCTAATCCACCTAGCCAGCACATCCCTGCTTAGCTAATGGGTTGCCATGGGCAAAGCAACAGGGAAGTATGGGCTCCCCAAACTCCCTTTTGTCCATAGTGAAAATTGTTTAGATTGTTAGAAATTTGGCATTCTTGTGTTTGTCCTGATGCATGAACGTCAAAAAGCTTTGGCAACATGGCTCTCTGTTCACCAGTATTTATGGAAGTGGTAGATAGTGATATATTTTTGAGCTAATAATTGGTGTATGTTTGTCATACCTGAGCAGTAATTTGTTTCTCACTGTGTTAATTGCATGGACAGATCATTCGGAAGGTGAATAAGCAGTATGCTGCGCTGGATGTGGATGAACCTGTCTCTCAACTTCACAAGTGCGCCTTTCACATCAAGGACACAAACAGGATGTATCTGTGTCTCTCCAATGAGAACATCATACAGTTCCAGGTAATGTCACCAGGGCTCTCTATTCCTGAATTATGAATTGGACTACTTGAGGATTGACTGGCCAGCTTCTTTTTGATTCTGTAGTAGGATGTGGTTGTTGCTGGCAAGGTCAGCATTTGTTGCCCCATCCCAATTGCCTTTGATCTGAGTAGCTTGCTCGGCCATTTGAGAGGGTGGTTAAGAGTCACTGACATTACTCTGGATCTGGAGTCACATGTAGGCCAGGCCAGGTAGGGACGGCAGATTTCTTCCCAAAAGGACTTTACTGAACCAGATAGGTTGCTACAACAATTGATGATGGTTTCAGTGTTGCCATCACTGAAACCATCTTTATAGATTCATTGATAATAGATAACAAGGTGTAGAGCTGGATGAACACAGCAGGCCAAGCAGCATCAGAGGAGTAGGAAAGCTGACGTTTCGGATCTGGACCCTTCTTCAGAACCCTTTTCTGAAGAAGGATCTAGGCCCGAAATGTCAGCCTTCCTGCTCCTCTGATGCTGCTTGGCCTGCTGTGTTCATCCAGCTCTATACCTTGTTATCTCAGATTCTCCAGCATCAGCAGTTCCTGCTATCTCTTTATAGATTCATTATTTGATTTCAATTTCAACCAGCTGCTAGCGTGTGATTTGAACCCGTTCTCTCAGATATCCTGGTCGCCCAGATATCCAGCCTCAGAGTGTCTTGTCCTTCCACACCAAGTGGAAGACTTTCCTTTTTGATTGGATGAATCTTTGACTCACACAGTCTTTAACATGACATCTCCACTTTTTTTGTCATTATCCATCAAGAGTGTTTGAAGAAATAGGTTTAAAAATGCATTTTCCTCCTCGTGGCATTTGTCCTCAGATGTACCAGGTGGATGGTTAACCTTCAACATGGAGATTAAATTAATCATTGTATTAGAGAGTTGTATTGGAAGGGAGTTTCTCAAAATGGAGACTGTGACCAGTGGTGTTCCACAGGGATCTGTGTTGGGACCACTGTTGTTTGTGATATACATAAATGATCTGGAGGAAGGTATAGACGGTCTGATTAGCAAGTTTGCAGATGACACTAAGATTGGCGGAGTAGCAGATAGTGAAGGGGACTGTCGGAGAATGTAGCAGAATATAGATAGATTGGAGAGTTGGGCGGAGAAATGGCAGATGGAGTTCAATCCAGGCAAATGCAAGGTGTTGCATTTTGGAAGATCCAATTCAAGAACGAACTATACAGCAAATGGAAAAGCCCTGGGGAAAATTGATACAGAGAGAGATCTGGGTGTTCCGGTCCATTGTACCCTGAAGGTGGCAACGCAGGTCGATAGAGTGGTCAAGAATGTATACGGCATGCTTTCATTCATCAGACGGGGTATTGAGTACAAGAGTTGGCAGGTCATGTTACAGTCGTATAGGACTTTGATTCGACCACATTTGGAATACTGCGTACAGTTCTGGTCGCCACATTACCAAAAGGATGTGGATGCTTTGGAGAGGGTGCAGAGGAGGTTCATCAGGATGTTGCCTGGTGTGGAGGGCGCTAGCTATGAAGACAGGTTGAGTAGATTAGGATTATTTACATTAGAAAGACAGAGGTTGAGGGGGGGACCTGATTGAGGTCTACAAAATCATGAGAGGTATAGACAGGATGGATAGCAAGAAGCTTTTTACCAGAGTGGAGGACTCAATTACTAGGGGTCACGATTTCAAGGTGAGAGGGGAAAGGTTTAAGGGAGATATGCGCGGAAAGTTCTTTACACAGAGGGGTGGGTGTCTGGAACGCGTTGCCAGCGGAGGTGGTAGAGGCAGGCACGATAGCATCATTTAAGATGTATCTAGACAGATACATGAATGGGCAGGGAACAGAGGGATACAGGTCCTTGGAAAATAGGTGACAGGTTTAGATAGAGGATCTGGATCGGCGCAGGCTTGGAGAGCCGAAGGGCCTGTTCCTGTGCTGTAATTTTCTTTGTATCACCTTTGTGTGGGATAGTAATGGATTGGTGGTTGGACAGTCTCTACAAAATTGAATAAATAAGTAATGGGAAATAATTTAATGCATCTCCAAGAAGTTGACTTGAAAATTACTGAAAAAGAGACAAATTCCTAAAGTTTTCTGTCTTGCATTTATGAGGACAAATGCAAGACAGTTAAATTTCAAATGATTATACAATTTATGTGACAGGAGAAAAGGACACTAATTGGTTAACACATTGACTTTGACTGGTTGAGACATTATCATGGAGAAAATAATGGGGACTGGTAGACTCCTCACGCTGTAGACATTTCAAACATGGCACAACGTTTGATCTATTCCTTTAGTTTTCAGATAATAGACCACTATGTAGGAATGTATGTCACTTCTAGCAAGCATTAATGATCTATATTGAGCTCAAGTGCTTACCTTAAACTGATTATTTGTGTAGCTGTTAGAACACATAGGATTGTTCAGCAAGTGTTGTCCAATTGTGGAATCACAACGAACAGGAGACATTTTGTTCAGGAACTCAAACTTGTGCTTTCATGTGATCTTTCAAAGGCGACCCCTTGCTCCAAGGATGTCAACAGGGAAGTATTGAATGATGGCGCTTGCTGGACAATTATTGGCACCGAGACTGTAGAATACACATTTAGTGAGAGCCTGGCACAGCTTCACATTCCTGTCACTCCTATTCCCGTCATCAATAGCCTGGAGGTAAGATCTTTGTTGTGGTGTCACAGGATGCCTGATGGTATTTAATACTTTGTCCTGTCCCATCATTTAGCTGTTCAAACCGAGAAACCAGTTCAAGGGCCCATGTCAATGTTGCAGAAATGAAAAACAGAGTGCTGGAGAAACGCTGCAGTTCTGGTACCAAGACAACAAGGTGTGGAGCTGGATGAACACAGCAGGCCAGGCAACATCAGAGGAGCAGGAAAGCTGACATTTCGGGCCGGGACCCTTCTTCAGAAGGGTCTGTCTTTTCTTGATCAGCCCATCCTATAACCTTCTAGCAGCCTAATTTATGTTATCTCCCCTCATAACTCAACCCTTGAAGTTCAGGCGTCATTCTTGTAAACTCGTGTTGTATTCCCTCCAAGGCCAGTATATCCTTCCTAAGGTGTGGTGTCCAGATCTGCTCACAGTACTCCAAATGGGGTCTAATCAGGGTTTTGTATTACTGCAGCATAACTTCTGCATTCTTGTACTCCATATAAAGATCAGCATTCCATTAGCTGTCTTGATTATTTTCTCCACCTGTTTGTGATATTTTAAAGCTCTTTGCAGCTGAACCCCCCCCACCCCCGCAGTTTCTTTGAACATTCACTGCGTTTAACTTTGTATCATCTAGAAAGTACCCTAATCCGTCCTTCTTTGGCCAAAATAGATAACTTCACACTTGCTTACATCTGCTACATTTTGCCCATTCACTTAGTCTATCAATAACCCTTTGTAATTTTATGCTATCACCTACATTGTCTACAATGCTGGCTAACTTTATCTCATCAGCAAAATTGAATGTATAATTTTCTATGCCTTTTTCCAAATAATTAATAAATAATATGAATAATTGAGGCCGTGACACAGATCCTTGATCCACTGGTCACATCTTGCCAATTTGAGCACCTACCCAGTTTACCTACATTCTGCTGCCTGCCACTCAACCCGTTTCCCAGCCATATCAGTAATTTGCCTCCATGCCATGAGCTTCTACCTTTAGTTAACAGATACTTATGTGGGACTTTATCAAATGTCTTTTGGAAGTCCAAATAAACAACATCCAAAGACATTCCGAAACAAAAACAGAAATGGCTGGAGAAACTCACAGGTCTGGCAGCATCTGTGGAGAGAAAACAGGGTTAACATGTCAGGCTAACAGTTTCTGTTTTTGTTTCTGATTTTCAGCATCTGCAGTACTTTAGTTCTTTTTGTCTAGTGATTAACTCACTACCACATCTCTTACAGGTATGCCTACCTTGAAGATATTCTACTCCTGTATCTGACAGGATTTCCTTTCTAATCATTTTTCTTGTTTCCTGTCTTTACTTTCATTGTTGCTCCTGGGGTTTGACAAAGTATTTGCCAAAACTTGTTTCCACAACCATATCACCTTCCTCAGTGTCAGCCTCTGGCTCAGTCTCACCCCACGTGCATTCCAATTCAAGTTTTGTCCTTCATGTTTTGAATCCACCCAGGATCGCAGGTATCTCCGTGATGTACAACATTCCTCAGAGAGCTGCTCTTGTCACATCCCAGGATCCACACTCAGCACCTATGCATTGTCATATGCACACTCTCGACCTTTCTCTCCATCAGCACTGCCTCACACTGGCTCAGAGCTGCCCTGCAACCACCCCCCACCCCACCCAGTTCTTCTTTATCCTTCAGCTTGTTCTAACAAGAAACATCATCTTTTCAGGCATTGAAGGAACGTTAGGTGCAACAACTCAGAGATAACACACCCCTCTGGAATGTTCCTCCCCTCCCCTGTGACTCCATCTCCTAAACCCACCTCCTGCTGACTATTTACTATCCCTTCTGACCTTCCACTTTCTGATGCTGAACGTTCTGTACTCAGCAAAGATCTCAGTTTTATTCCTTCACACCCCAATCTCAATGAATTTTGGGCATGACATGACATATTAAGACTCAAAGCATTAGCTCTGTTGTTCTTTCCACAGATGCTGCCGGACCCTGCTGAGTTTCTCCAGCTATTTCTGTTTTTGTTTCGGATTTCTAGCATCTGCGGTTTTTTTTTTTAATATACATGGATACTCCCCTGTCCACTATCTTAGTCACCTTTTCAAACAGTTCACTGAGCTTTGTCAGGCATGACCTACCTGTCATGAATCCATGCTGGCTCTACCTGATTATTTGGAAATTTTTAAGGTGTTCATTTTATTACACCCTTGATTATAGCCTGAAGCAAATTCCCCACCACAGATGTTAGGATAACTGCTATGTAATTCCTTCATCTTCCTCTGTCGCCCTTCTTAAAAACAGAGGGACATATGCAATTTTTCAATGCAGAGGGCGACTCGTGTAATTTTAAGATCAATGAAGTACTTCACAAAATATAGTCACTATGGACGTGTTGGAAATGCACAGCCAATCTTCACACACAGGTCCCACAAGCAGCAATGAGATAGCTATCAAGATCATCCATTTTTCAGTGATGTTGGCTACAGGTCAAGCATGTACCAGGATACTATAGAGTAGTTCCTCTGGTTATAGTACTGCCATGGCATCTTTTATACTCCTCCGCAAGGGCTAACAGGACCTCAGTTTGAAATTTCACTTGAAAACTGGCCTCTTTTAGATCTCACTTACATTTGTTAAAGATCAAACATTTTCAGCTTGTCTTGAGCATGGTGTCATCTCCATAAATTTCTTCACTTTGGCCTTGGTATCCATTGTAAAGACTCAATTGAGGAAGAGCAACAATGGAAAAAAGGTGATGTTTGGAGCAAGGAGCTTTCTAATTTATTTGAGATGGTACTTTGGCCTCTTGGTCACATGGTTGAAAGAGAATGCACACTGCAAGATCCTGATGTTTGTGCCTGACCCCTAATAACTTTGTAGACCATGTTTCAATTCCAATTACAGTTTCTTCTGTCTTTTCCCAAGCTGAATGGAGGAGGTGATATAGCAATGTTAGAAGTACAAGGGGAAAGCTTCAGCCCAAATTTGAAAGTGTGGTTTGGTGATGTGGAGGCAGAAACTATGTACAGGTAAGACCACTATTAGACACTACACTGTACCTACATACATCTTGAGCTGACAGTGCTGAGCCATGTGCTTTTAGAACCTAAATTCTTTTATGTTCATACAGTTATGCAATACCGTTCAGTCCATCATGCTGGTGCTTGCTTTTTACTTCAGAAAAGATATAATCACATTAGAATTAGCTCAGAGAAGGTTCTCTTGACTTAATCCTGAGTTGGCGGTGTCCATTAGAAGAATGAGAGGTGATCTTATTGAAACATGAGATTGGGATGCTGAAAGGATGTTTCCATTTATGCAAGGGTCTATAATGAGCGGATGCAAATTAGGGATCTCCTGTTGAAGACAGACATAAGGAGATCTTCTTTTGTTCTCAGAGGATCACTGGCCTGTCAAATTTTGTTCCCCAAGAGCAGTTGGAAGCAGCGTCATTGAATGTCTCTCAGGCTGATTTCAATGGATTCTTGTTTGACATATAGGGATAGATAGGAAAACGGAGTTACAATCAGATCATCCATGATCTTATCAAACAGTACAGCCAGCTCAAGCAACAAGTGGTCCACTCTCACTCCTAATTCATTTGTTATGCTCTGCAAGAGCCTTCTCTTTACACCTTTACCCTCTTTGTCTGCATAATGGTCTATTTCTTTCTCCCTGTTGAGTTTCTATAGCTTCTTCTTAAATGCATCTGTTCGATGCAGTTCCCTGAATTCCCCTTTCTGTCCACTCCATTTGTAAAGATGTTTCATCTGAAATCCCTATTGTGTTTTTGGCTTTTTACAAACAAAATACCTGTTTTTCTAATCAACCTGTTCAGAGACGTTATTACACACGTCTGGAGCAGGTGGGACTTGACCCCAGGCCTCACGGTCCAGGGATAGGGACACTACCTCTCAACCACAAGAGCCCCTGGACTGTACTTTTGGACTCTCTGGCATGTGCAAACAACTTGGTATGAAACTGGTTTGAAATGGGCTTGTAGCAAATTCGGAGCCAATTTTTGGCTGCACCCAATCTTCTTTCCATTGCAGATAATAGAACAAAGCTCAAACTATTTTTGAGATTAGTTTCTTGGGCTTTGTTGTATATGTTCTATATGCAATGCATCATAAGTACAGTGTAATACATAACAATATTGTATAGAACTAAAGTGTTATGTATAAGTGTTTCAGTAGGAAATACTTCACAGTCACACTTAAGAAGCATGTAATGTGTAGCTGAACGAATAGGCATCCACCTGGTACAGCCTGAATTGAGCCTCTTAAGTCCAAGCAGCCTCTGAGAATTAAACTAGTTAGAGTTCTTACTTCAAGCTTGTAGTATGATTATTCAAACTTTAAACACACAACATAATATCAGTATTGCTGGTGATTTGCTTGATTGGAAAGTAAAAGCATTGGCAATTATTTCCAAACTCATAGAAAGTAAAGTTGGTGATAAATCGGCTGACTCGCTCAGGGCCTGTTTGGTACTGCTGGCCTCAAGCCCTTTCGTAACTTTAAATCATTGCCTCAATATCTAACATATGTGAACATGTAAAGATATGTGTATACAACATATATACATTCATATCATAAAATCCCTACAGTGTAGAAGCAGGCCATTCAACCCATTAAGTCGATACCGACTCTTTGAAGAGCATCCCACCCCTCCCCTATCCCTGTAACCCCACATTTCCCATGGTCAATCTACCTAGCCTGCACATCTTTGGACTGTGGGAGGAAACCAGAGCACCCAGAGGAAACCTATGCAGACACCGGGAGAATGTGCAACCTCCACACAGGCAGTTGCCTGAGGGTAGAATCAAACCCGGGTTTCTGGTGCTGTGAGGCAGCAGTGCTAACCACTGAGCCACCGTGACAGGGGAGGTGATGGCCTAGTGGTATTATCTCTGGACTGTTAACCCAGAGACCCAGATAATGTTTTGGGGACCTGGGTTCAAATCCCGCCAGGGCAAATGGTGGAATTTGAATTCCATAAATTTCTAATGATGACCATGAATCCATTGTTGATTGTTGGAAAAACCCATCTGGGTCACTAATCTCCTTTAGGAAGGAAACTGTCAGCCTT